CATCTGAACATTAAGGGGGATGCTTCCAGATATGCTTTTACACATCGCTGTTAGGCTGCTTTGCCAGGATATGTTTTCTCGAGCGCTGTGCGCCGCCAGCTATTCATGCGTTTTGGCATTATCCAGCGCTTTGCGCTGCTCCGCTTTGCGCTGCTCCTATCCCCCCAGCGCTTGCGCTGTTCCCCTTCCAGCGCTTTTGGCGCTATCCAGCGCTTTGCGCTGCTCCTCCCCCCTCCAGCGCTTTGCGTTGCCCTTCCCCCCAGCGCTTGCGCTGTTCCCCCACCAGCGCTCGCGCTGCCCCCCCCCCCCCCCCCCATTCCAGCGCCTTGCGCGCGCCCCCCCCCCCCCCCCCCTCCGCCCATCGCTTTGCGCTGCTCCGCTTTGCGCTTTTCATCCCCCCCAGCGCTTGCGCTGTTCCCCTTCCAGCGCTTGCGCTGTTCCCCCGCCAGCGCTATCCAGCGCTTTGCGCTGCCCCTCCAGCGTTTGGGCTGTTCCTCCCCCGCCCAGCGCTCGCGCTGCTCCTGCCGCATTCAGCGCCTCGCGCTGTTCCGGTCCGCAGCCGCTTCCTGGCCCAAGCGCGCGCTCCGACGCCGCGCGAAGGGCGCGGCGGCGCGGCCCTCCAGCGCCGCAGCGCTTGCGCTCAAGCGGCATGGCGGCGAAGGGATGTCGCCGTCACTCTCGATCGAGGCCCTGCCCTCCCCCTCCTCCTCCTCCTCCTCCTTCTCCTCCTCCTCCTCCTCCTCCTCCTCCTACACAGTATGAAAATACTCTCCCACTTCCCCTGATGGCGCCCCGAAGATCTCCGACACCCCCCCGCGTATTGTTTTTTTCGTTCACGCAGGATTCCCTGAAACGGGTTTTCGCTTGCGTTTTTTTTTGTTTTCAAATGCTGCTCTCGCTGAGGCGCCGGCCTCATTTCTGCTCCCGAATCGTTCCGAATCGTGCTCCCGCTGCAGCGTGGGCCTCATTTTCGGATCGGTGTTTGGCCTCCGTCGTTCAGGATGGCGTTCTCGCCCCAGCGCGGGCCTCTTT